TATAATGCTAGAAATTACAAGGAAAAAAATTGCAAAACACAGTAGCCAAATAATGTGAGAAACTGCAGAACTTAAAACTGCAATTTTAGGCACTCTTCAATTGACCCGGGCGGGTGGCCGGTTGAACCGGTCAGACCGCCAAAACCGCGAACCGGTCACCAAATCGGTTCAACCACCGGTTCGGGTTTCAAAACCATGCATTATTATAGTTTTAAAGGCTATTAAACATCAATCCTTATTGTTAATAGCACGTCCAATGTAGCCTTAATGGGCTTAGGTGGCCCAAAACGACAAACATTGAAGACGTTTTGATGGTAGATGTTTCTGCTGTTCTACGTTCTTATGCTATACATTTTGATGGTACAACCCCACGATGGCTCAATCAATTTCTACTTCCGCAAACGATTTCCTGCTTAGGTTTGTGCCCTTGATTTGCTGGGTTTGCTTTTTGAAAATAACAGGTAAGGAGTTGCTATTTCCGCTTAGAATTTGCTGGGGTTGGCTCTCAATTGCTTTCATCTTCTTTTTTGATTTACATAACGTAGTTTTTGCCATGGGCAATGAAGATTTTGCGCTTGATTCCATGATCTGTGACTCTAATTTAAGGCTTATATCAAACCAAAAGGATGGAGAAGAGGAAATTTACACAAGGGATGCCTTTACTATTCTTTTGCTATCAAATCCAAGTTGAAGAATCCCACTAGCGTCAGCAATCTCATCCGTTTTGGAGGAGCGGGTTTTGAAGCAAGCATCCATCTCCATTTGGATCATTGATGTCCAAGCAGAGGGTATTCTCATTCAGAGGAATGTAGGTGGCCCCTTTCTCATGCACACCAGTTGTTCCGCATGTGGGCCGTGTCAGTTGTAGTTGGTTTTATTACTAGGAATATATACTGGGAATTAGTAGTTGGCTTAAGATTATGTTTAATATCAGGATAAGGATTTTTTACATAATTTGTGTTTCTCATCCAACAAGAATTTAATTTAGTTTGTAAATTTAATTTCTTTCTAAATGAATTCTTCCTGTGTATAGTGAGTTAGGTATGAGAAGTTAGGATTCTGTGCCACTCCCATTATAAATTTTATTTATCAGTTTTCATATGAAAATTCATGGTCAAATTTACCAAGCAAAAAATAAGGAAAATCAAAGACAACATGAACACGATGAAAAATGCACTCGGTGATAAACAATTAGATTTGGGATTTAATAGATTCAATTCCAAATATGATTTCTCTTCATAATCTTATTTGATGATGTTTACATATATTTTCATAGAAAGAACAATTGAAAGAACAATCAAAACCCAAGGCCCATAAGAAGAACTTTCTCTTTTTTTGAACTATTAAAAGTTTAAATATCTTGCTTTTGATGTGCAATTTCTTGCAAGGGAATCTGTTTTGGTGCATTGTTGTAATGTATTTGCATTTAACTTGTTAGTTCTTTTTTATAAGAAATTAATATTTTCAAAATTAAATTTAAGGTAAAAAAACTTTTAAAAACAAATTTTAATAATTGAATCGGAATGTGTTACTAAATATGTTGAATTGAAAGGTATATCAATCATTTTCCCTAACTATGCAGTTTCATTTTGTTGGTAAAATGTTATTATGGATTAAGAAGGATGAATTTCTTAAGAATCCTTAGAGGTTTTGATCCGTTACTTTATACACACAAAATAACTTTTCAGCATGGTAGCTGTTCAATCTCCATGCAAACATTAGATAAGGAAATGGAGGACCTGCGAGTAAGAGTGTCAATTTGAATTTTGATATGGTACATTGTTGTTCTTGTTTCTTTTCTCTTCATAATTTGCATTTTTTCTTTATAGTGATTCCATCTTGATGCTATACAATTGCAATGTTTCTTCAATCCTTCATATCTACAATTAGCTCATCAAAGGTTTTTTCAAGATATGGATTTATAGTTACATAGTTAAGCTTTTATGCTCCCTCGCTTTTTGCACTCATCTAATGTTTCCCTGCTTAAATCAGAGAGACCTTGGACATACTAATTAAATTATCACTCAATATCAAGTTTTTTTTTCCTTCTTGTGTCAGAATGGGATAGTTGTTGTGACTAAGCCAAGACAAAGGTTCAAGTCAGGAGACTTAAGCATCTTCAGGCTTGCATTAGGACTTAATTGGAAGACACATATTGTCATTTTGTTAGGTTGCCACAACATAATCGATTGAACATTAAAAAATTATTGATAACGTTTTGTGTTGGTGAATTAAGAGGCTTGAATGATGCTGTTAAAAGTAAAATCGCCATTGTTTTGATATCATCCGATCCTGTTTATTGCCTCATCATACTAGTGAGGACTAACTGACATGCGCCAATAATATGTTGCCAAATTTTTGGATGGACCAGGCAGGAAAGGATTGCTTGTCTTAATGCTGGGACAAGGGAGTTATTGCTTGTGCTGTTACTGAATTAATTTACTATTGATTTCAACCTTACATTTGCTGAAATTAGTTTTGTTTAAACCGTTGCTTTGATTGCGTAGGCCTTGTGAGTTTGACTTGTTTTAAGATTCATGTTTGTGCATATTAATTAAGGTTTTTTAATATATGATCTAAAAACTATAAGTTTAGATATAATAAATATATTTTTTTATTATAAATTTATATTAAAAATAAAATAAAAATAAAATTTATTAATTATTTAATTAAATTTATTTATTTAATATTAATATTAAAGTTAACATTAATTTTTATTTTTTATTTTTATATATTTATAGAAAAAAGCATCCTAAAACATAAATTAAAAAAGGCAAAACCATAAGTTAAGCCTCTGAACTAACCCCAGAATCAGTATTAAGCCCCCAGACTTTAATTGATGCATATAAGCCCCTGAACTCTGCCGTAGAAGCAATTTAACCCTTACGCTTACAGCAACTTAACTGCTGTTAACTACCGTTAATTGCCATTTGGGGACTGCCTCGTGTGGCGAAATATGGCCATCTCGTGCCTACGTGGCAAGGGATTTGACATTTG